TCTTTCTCAACCCTGAAAATGAGAAAAGGAGCTACCCTTAACACCTATACAAGTGGAACTCTCAACTACTTTCACAGTCTCGGTGGAGTTAACAAATTAACATCTTCTGTGCTTAACTCCCCCATTCTCCCAACCTTCCCATCTCGGTGGGCGGAGGCAGTGGTAGGGGTGCACAGACAGCAGGCAAAAAAAAGACAAAAGGATGAGGTTCTGCACAGCAGTGGCTATTCCTGGCAAAATGAGGCATATATAGCACAGCACTATTTTATTAGGGATTTCATTAAGGTTAAATCTCCAGGAATGAGGGAGTCAGTCAGGAGGCATGAGGTCCAGGAAGCCTCCTCAGATTTCATAGTGAACCACCGGCTCAGACTCTTTGGTGGGATCGCCGCCTCGTTCCAGGTACAGATTATTATAAGGATACTGCTTTGGCGCCTAAGGAAAAAACACAGGTCAGTAAGAGCAACATGCATCCAGCCAATGCCTGGCCACATCCCACTCTGAGTTTAATAGTCATGCACAGTAATGGGGGTGCAACAGCCTCTGATCAGACCCAGCTGGGCTTGAATGGCAGAAGAGCACTCCTCTTCCCTGCTCAGCCCAAGGCAGAAAGAAAGCCTAGACTGTAAGACAAGTGGTGCCTACCCTCTCTGTGTGTGTGTGTGTGTGTGTGTGTGTGTGTGAGAGAGAGAGAGAGAGAGAGAGAGAGAGAGAAACAAGGAAGAGCACCAGGGAGAGTTTTCTAAATGAGACGATGCATCCATCCATCCCACTCTCTCTCGGGGTCGAGACAGACTCAATCTCCTTTAAGTCACTCAGCCTCTAATGGTTCCACCACTAAAGTGGCCTAGCAAATGAGGCGTGCAGGAGCAGCAGTGGGGGAAAGCACAGAGGAGACATGGCTGGGACGTGCTTTAGGGGCTGCTGGCTTTACCAACAAACAGCTGTCAGAGAACACAGCTCAAGGGGAGAAGAAAAGGGTGATGTGCTTACAGAACTGAAAAATGGAAGAGCCACACTGTGTTTCTTGCTCTCCTGAAGTGAAGTTAGTGCTCACACCAGCCCTGTGTGCACTCTCCAGCCTGGGGCCCCTGGGGCTTGGTGGGAAGGCTCGTGTCAGTGCACACAGACATACCAGCTACCATCAGGACATTGATTACCTCTGCAGAGGTAGCACTGAGCAGCCAACTGCAAAGACAGCAGCTTCCCTGCTTTCAGTTCCTTTCCTTACAATCTATCCTGTAGATTACTCCCAGATTAATCTTCCTAAAAACCCAGCTTTTACCATATCATTCTTCTGTTCAAAAACCCAAATGGCTCCTGGCTGCGCGGAAGCAGACCAAGTCATCACCGTATCCCCAACACCTACCATAGGCTGTACCTGGTACACCGCGGGGCTTCAAAAATATTTGTTGAAGTAATGTGTTACTATACCATCAAGTCCAAATCCCTTAGCAATGCAGTAAAAGTTGTCCGACCTAACTGATCAGCTCACCTCACAATAATTTTTAACACAGCAACTTCCACACATAATTTCCCAGGACATCAGAATTATCCACGAAGTTGTTAAGTATTGATTCTAGAATTCCACTTGGAGCTAATAAATTAGGTTCTCCAGGAAGTGGAGCCCAGGAATCTGAATTTTAGCAGCTCTCCAATAGTTATCTAGGAATTATTTTATATGCTTATTCCACTCCAGCTAACTCACTCTCCTTTTTCTTCCTTCATTCTGTTTTTCTTTTGCCCCAAATTTTCTCTCCAACTTCTCCCCACCGTCTAAAATATATCATTTTTAGCATCTAGTTTAACCCTTCTCTTTAACAGCACTTCATACACCTTAGCACATACAGATACAAAAACTATGCCAAATTCATATGTATTTGTGTTCAAATGGTGCTTGTCGTATCATATATCTCAATTTTCTCCTTATTCAAATTCAACTTTATTAAAACTAAACAATATTTTTTTCTGTCTTTTACAGTCTCCAAAATATAACTGTCTATGCTTGTAGTAAATTTTTAATTCCTTCCAATACCCTTTAGGAGGTGCTCTTCACACCTCCAAAGAGGATAAGGCTTCAACTCTAGATTCCATAACTCTTACCTTCAAAGATCACTTGGTGAAATGATTGGTAAGTGCAGTCCCCAAATGGCAACTCTAGAGACTGGCTGACTTCCACATTCTTATTTCTCACAGAGTCCTTAACTGTTTTTTCTCACTCACACTGACCCAAGATGCAGGCATGGAGCAGTGCTCTGGTACTAATGCCTGCCAGTGTGAAGGCCCTCCATAGGTCTTACCAGGAATCCAGGGTTAGTATTGGCCAGATCCCTATTCCAGTGACTTCACTCCCTCAGAAAACAGGGCCAAGTAAGTGTGTCTAAGAGAGGGAGCACTTCTCAGATACTCACCACCGGCTGGTAGGTGGGACACACCTCCCCGACCCAAAACATGAACAGCATGAAGGCCACGAAGCCGAAGAGGTGCTTGCACATGACATCCCAAGAAACAGGTGTGGGGGACGTGTCCACACGATTCCTGATATACATATCTAGGTCCCAGTGAATCTAAGGCAGAAAGGCAGATAACTGTCACATATTGCTCTTCCTGCAAAAGGCAGGCAGTCCAGAGTGATCAGAGCCTGCTACAAGGCTTGACAAAAGTGTTCTACTGCCCCAGGCAATATGCTGAGAGCCAAGTTACTCTGGCCCCCAAAACTAGATGCTAGTTTCTAGCAGGGTTTTGCTGACCAGAGACAGCTCCATCATTGAAGTTTACAACTTTCACAACACAGAGCTTGTTAATTCCCGGAAATCCTATTCTAAATGCCACACATGGAACCTCAGGTCTCAGATCAATGTATTTTCCTTCCTTGTGCACAAAACCTTTGTGTTACTTGGGCAGAGAAGTACTATTTGAGCTAAAGAAAGAATCCCCAGAAATACATTAGAGAGAAGGAAGAAAGGTTAAATGGGATAGGGTTCTCTCACCGGTTCACCCCAGTTCATTCTCAGGTCTGGGTGGTCCCATTCATACCACGGATCCCTCTCGTGCTGTGAGCGGTCAGGGAGCTTTGGGTAGTCGCCATACCTGAGAGACAGCAAGAACTTCTGGAAGAGGCTCTGAGCACTGTCTCTCTCAGACAATTCAGAGTCTCCTCATCTCAAAGAAACCAACTAACTGTCTCACCCAAGGACAGAAGAACTGATTTTCACAAGATCTCAATTTCTAGTCACTAAGCATAGACCCCAGAAGTCCAAATTGTAATGAAAAGTTCATGTCAAACTCTGAAACATTATAACATCATTAGCTTTTCTTACCTTCTTTCAACAAAAAGAAAAGTCACATAATATATATGTTAGCTTTGAAAGAGCATTTAATTATCTATCACTCTGATTTCCTCATTAGACAGAAAATGAAACTAGTTCAGGGTCTGAACCCACACTCACCCAGCTAATTGAAATAAAAACAAAAAGGGTACAGATTTCTTGCTAAGTTGGGTCTTCCCCAACAAATCCAGGTTCAACTTATACAGACGGCTACCAAAGCTGCTCTTGTCCACAACACAATAAAAGATATAGGAAATAATGACAACTAGACATATATCACAGAAAATGACTGGGAAACAAGATGAATAGGAGCTGCAGAGACCACAATAGAAAGAGTGATGCTAGGACAGAAAATGAGAGTGCTGGTAATCACTTCAGATAATTAACCATAGAGATGTTCTGCGGCTATGAGGGGCGGGGGGAGGATGGGTGAATAACATCGCTTGGTGTAAGGGAGTTGACTTTAATCGGCTTTACCGTCTCTAGGATTTCCACAGCCCCAAGAGCAATGATGTTTTTAAAAAGAGAATCATACACAAACATAGAGTACTCCATCTACAAATAAGGTTCTCGTGACAGGAGTACAGTTACCGCCGGGTCACGCGTCTGGACGACAGCACCTGAGCCCAGCAGATGCTCAAGCCAAATGAAACCTTGCGCTCTGGATAGAGCCAAGGAAGATTCCTGCTATTCAGGGGTCCTCAAGGGAGCTATTAAAATCTCGCTTCCCCATTTGAGGAAACAGCTCGAGCCAAGGAGAAAATTGAAGTCCTCTCGGCTGCAGCTGCTCACTCACCCCCCTCCCACCTACCGACAAAAGCACCTACACCGTTGATTCTCAGGGGTCATGTGAAGGTTCGGGTAGAAAAGGGCCGAGCCACCAACCCAGCCGCCTTCTCCCATCACTACCCAAGTGATGAGCCTCTCTCTCTCACCCCATGCCATCATCCGGGTACGGCTCATAGTCTTCCAACCGCATATTATACTTCTTGGCGGCGGCAGCCCTTTCTTCTGGGGTATTGGGATAAGGCCCCGGGAGCATGTCCTTGGTAATGTGGGAGGCTGGAGAGCAGACGAGGGCAGGTGAGAAGGAACCCGGTTCTGCCTGCGGCTCGGAAGGTATCAAGCGTCGGCGGCTGCGGAGGCCCGAGCGACATCCAGGTACCAGCGAGACCCTCCACCCGCTTTTCTGGATATACCACCTCCACCTCCGCCCTCCAGCCCGGACATGGCCGCCGCGGTATCCACGATACCCATCCTCCCCCCGACACACCAACCCTCAGGCATCCCCTTCCCAGACTGAGGCCTCGCCGGCTCTCGCGGACCTGTCCGTGCACACAGCGGCACCACATTCCGGGCTGCCCTTTGCAGCCATCGGACTCCCAGGACCCCCGCTCTGGCCGCCGCCATCTTGACCTTCCTCCGGTTTCCCTCCGCACATGCGCAAAGGGCTGTCATGGTGGCTGAGCCGGGCCAAACGCGACCGAGAAAGCAGGGAATGAAGAAAGGGGTCTTAGGGGTTAAACATGGCTTAAACAGTGCTGGGAAGCCAGACAAACAAGATGTGCAGGTGGATAGAGGCAGAGAGGGAAAACTGGAAGGGAAGAAATCCAAGCAGGTCACTGCTTTGACATTTCAGATGTTGTGTCTCTTTTTTCTCCCTCAGTTGACTTAGACGCATCCCAGGATAATGAGGACTCAGAACCTGAGCATCTCATGTGGACAGCTGACCCACTTCTCCTCGGAGCAGTACAAGTAAAGTGAGCCTGGGTTAATCTCTGATTGATTGCTTTTTTTTCCTTTCCTTTACTGGAACTTGCTCCATTCATCCCCTGACGTGATCATTCTTCAAATTCAGCCCTTGGTCTTCCATGTTTTTGTTCCGTTTTCCAAATTGGTTGATCCCTTTCACTTAGATGAATAAGTGTACAGCAGATAAACTGTACAGCAGATAAATCGGCCTGGAATTGGCTCCTCGTTTTCAGTCCGTGTTTACGTATGAATGTTCCAGTCACCTCAATCCGACAAATGTAAAACCAATCCTATCACCAGAGGCGGCTTTTCGAAGCCTGCATAAAGCCCCAGATTTGCTAGGATAAATACCTTTTAAACCGGAACACAAGGAAGAAACACTAGGTTAATAATGGGAGACATTATTGTGTTTGCCTATTAATATGTTTTTATTTTATTTACACACGTGGAATTTGCATAGTTTACACAGTATAAACATGTACATCATTGTTTTGGAGCAGAATCCATTATTAAGGACATTCTCAAATATATTTCAGAGCAATAAAAACTGATGTATACTATTCGGTATATAAATTTTGGGGAAGGCTAGTCACAGCAGCTTGCCCTCTTCTAAACCGAGCATCACTAGCTGATGTTCAGGATAACTGGACACTACCCACATTCAATCACTAGGAAGCCCTGATCTAGTTTGGGTTAAAAAAACAGCTGTTTTAATTTACTTATATATTTTTGTTAAGATATAGTCTACATACCATAAAATTTACTACTTTATATAATTAAGTTATTTTAGTATATTTACAAAGTTGTGCAATTATGACCACTAATTTTAAAAAATTTATCATACCCCCCCAAATATTCCATACCCCTTAGCATATTTCTTGTACCCCCTCCCCTTGGCAACCATTAATCTACTTTCTGTCTCTATGGATTTGCCTATTCTGGACATTTTATATAAAAGGAATCACTTAAAACATTTTCAAGGTTTGTCCATGTAGTGGCATGTTTTGGTTCTTCATTCCCTTTTATGCCTAAGTAATATTTCAATATATGAGTTATAACATTTTGTTTATACATTCATCAATTGATGGACATTTGGATTATTTCCACTTTTGACTATTATGAATGTTTCTGTTAATATTCCTATATATAAGTTTTTGTGTGGATGTATGTTTTTAATTCTCTTGAGTATATACCTAGTAGTAAAATTGCTGGGTCATAGGGTAACTCTATGTTTACTTTCCGCAGAACTACAATACTGTTTTCAAAGAAGCTGCACCACTTTATATTTCCTTATATTTTCACTAGCAGTGTATGAAGGTTCCAGTTTCTCCACATTCTCAAAAACACTTGTTATTGTCCATCTTTTTTATTATAGCTATTTTAGTGATAGGAATAGTATCTAATTGTGGTTTTATCTTGCATTATTCTGATGAAGATATTGAGCATCTTTTCATGCACTTACTGGCCATGGTACGTCTTCCTTGGAGAAATGTCTATTCAGGTCCTTTGCCCATTTCTTAATTGGGTTGTCTTTTTGTTGTTGAGTTCTTTATGTATTCTAGATACAAGTCCCTTACCAGATAAATGATTTGTTGTAAATATTTTCTCCCATTCTGTGGACTGTCTTTTTACTTTCTTGATGGTGTCCTATGGGGCTCCATTTTTATCCTGAAAGGTATTGGAGTTTGTCAAAAGCTTTCTCTGTGACTGTAGGGGAACTCACTAGATGCAGTAGGGCTCCAGCAGCAAAGACATCTGGGAAATGTTGGACTCTTAACTCTCTGTACCTTCAGGCTTGGCTGATTACTTAGAAAACTGGAATGTCATCCAAAGATATACATCATGCCCCCAAGAAGGAAGTTAATGAATGTATAGAGTGTGGATGACTGCCTGATATCATCTGTTAACTTAGGAGTGTATTGTTCATTCTGGTGGTCTACAGTGACTACCCACCATATGGTTTTACTTTTTACTCCATCTGAAAAAGAGACCCTGTTCTGAGAGGGTTGTAGATTCTTCCTGGCTGGCCATTCCTGGGAGCAGCTGCTTTGCCCGTGTATGTAAGTGTTAAAGCTCTTATGAATCTGAATAAGGCTAAGTGTCAATTATTCGGAATTGATCCTGAGTTTAGATTTCTAGGGCTTTCCCCCAACAGTATCCATTCAATTGATCATGGTTTTTTTTTCTTCTATTAAGATTGCTAATTTTTGGATGTTGAACAAACCTTGTATTCCTGTAATAAATCCCACTTTTTATATGGTGCTGGATTTGATTTGCAAGTATTTTGTTGAAGTTTTTGCATCTATATTCATAAGGGATATTGGTCTGTAGTTTCATTTTCTTGTGATGTCTTTGTCTCGTTTCGTGTCAAGGTAATGCTGGACTCAGTGAATGATTTGGAAAGTGTTCCCTCTTCTATTTTTTGGGTGAGTTTGTGATGGATTGGCGTCAATACTTTTTTAAATGTTTGGTAGGTGTCAATGATGGATTGGTGTCAATACTTTTTTAAATGATTCACCAGTGAATCCATCTGGTCCTAGGCTTCTGTTTGTGGAACATTTTTTATTCTAAATTCAGTTTCTTCCCTTTTTATAAGTCTATTAAGGTTTTTCTATTTCTTCTTAAATCAGTTATGATAGATTGTGCCTTTCTAAGAATTTTTTTCATTTCATCTAGGTTATCTAATTTTTTGACATACAAATGTATGCATATAGTATTTCCCTATATGCCTTTTCATTTTTGCAAAGTCACTTCTTTCATTCCTGAATTTAGTCATCTGAATTTTCCCGGTCTAATTTATTTGTAATTTTTCACATTAATATGTTCTTGTAAGAATTCAAACATTGCAGATAAAAATTAAAGCCTTGATTGACACCCCCACCCTCAAACCCTCCACAGAGGTAACCCTATTATCAGTTTGGTGTAGCCTAGTTACTATGTAGCATAGTTACTATGTAGCATAATTACATAGTTAAGCCAGTGTGTTGGTTTTCTATTGCTGAATGACAAATTATCATAAATTTAGCAGCCCAAAATAACACAAATTAATTATCTCACCTTTTCCATGAGTTTGGAGTCCAGGATGGGCTAGTCGAGTTTCAGCTCAGGGCCTCACTAGGCTGAAATCAAGGTATTGGTTGGGGCTACTATTTCATCTGAGGCTCTGTCTTTTTCCAAGCTCAGTAGTTGTTGGCAGAGTTCAGTTCCTTGCAGTTGTACGAGGACTAAGGTCCATTCTTTCTTGCTGGCTGTCAACCAGGAAGAAGCCTTTCTCAGCTCCTAGAGCCTACCTGCCATTGTCTGCCACTTAGTACTTTGTTTCTTAAAGGCCAACAGAATGTCTTCTGTGGCTTCAAATCTCTCTCACTTCTGTCTCCAACCTCTAGACCCAGATTTAAAGAGCTAGAATGATTAAGTCAGGCCCACCCAGGGCAAATCTCCCTTTTAATAAACTCAGTGAACTGATTAGGGACTTTAATTACATTTTTGCTATATAACAATCTCATTTCAGGAGTGCTACCCTATTATATTCACAAGTCCTGCTCGTATTTAAGGGGAGAGACTTATATATAGGGCTTATTTACCATGGAATGGAAGTCTTTGGATTCATCTTAGAATTTGACTTACGACATTTTATAATCAATTACAAATTGTTTGAAAATGTGGGATGTTCATGCTTGGCAACTATAATAACATTGGACCCATAGCAAAATACCTTTAAGTGTGAGACATAGTGACACAGGCAGAAAAATCAAATGGTACTAAACAAACAAAAAAACCCGTCTTCGATTTTTAAAACTTTCAACTTGTCATAATCTTTTGGCAGGGGTCTTCAGAGAAACCTATGCTCAACTTCTATCAATCTGACAATTGCTTTTCCTTCTGGCTTGCTTAAGTAGGTCAAGAGTTTGCTCCTCTCCCATCCATTAGTGTAAAATTTAATGCCTTATTAAACTTGCCTCCTTCTTTGCCTTTTGTGTAGGCCTGGACACATCGAGGCAGCAGTAATGTTTTGTGAATTGGTTAACCACATTAGCAAGCCTTGAGACTAACATCTGGCCCAGGTCTTCGGGGGGCGAAATTCAGGAGTGTACAACTGTTGGTTACCATTGGTAGGAGCGCTCCCCCGTCTCGGCATCGCGTTTTTAGGGTCTGTGGACCGCTCTCTCTCTCGCAGCTCATCTCTATGGTTTCCGTTGTGTTTTATCCGGAATAGGCGGAGCTTCCGGTTCCGGTAGGGCCGTCCCTAGCGGCGGAGATGGCGGCTACAACGGCGGAGGCTGCGGCCTCAAGCTCTGGAGGACCCCGGGAAGAGGCTGAAGCTCCCAGCCCCTCCTGGAATGAGTCCCAGCTGCGCAGTTATAGCTTCCCGACCCGGCCCATTCCGCGTCTGAGTCAGAGCGACCCCCGGGCGGAGGAGCTTATCGAGAATGAGGTAGGGGGCGGGACCGTGTCCCAAGTGGCAGCGGGGGAGGGAGTAGGTTGGGAGGAGAGGTTAAAGGCGAACGTTGACAGAAGTAAGGAACTGGCCGGGTGGTGGACTGAGGCCTAAGGAGAGCTGGAGAGGAAGTCGAGAAGAAATGGGACTTGAGGGGTTCGTGTTGGTTAGCAGGAGAAATTATTCTGGAGTTGGGAAGTAGGTAGAACCATGGAACTAGACTCCACTAGCTCCTTGGGACGACTTCTTTTTTTATTTCCATTTGCTGTTTTTGCCTAGGAGCCTGTGGTGCTGACCGACACAAATCTTGTGTATCCTGCCCTGAAATGGGATCTCGAATACCTGCAAGAGAATATTGGCAACGGAGACTTCTCTGTGTACAGTGCCAGTACGCACAAGTTCTTGTACTATGATGAGAAGAAGATGGCTAATTTTCAGAACTTTAAGCCAAGGTCTAACAGGGAGGAAATGAAATTCCATGAGTTTGTTGAGAAACTGCAGGATATACAGCAGCGAGGAGGGGAAGAGAGGTAAGTTCCCAGATGACGGTTTTCTGTTGACTGTAAGGCATAGCTTTTCCTCTCCTGTACTTGAGGGTATGGAGGAGTTGGGTGAGTTTTCTAAATTGAAAGATGAGGGATGCTGATCTTGAACTCTGACTCTCTGCTTTTTGTCATCTTTCACAAAGTGAGAGTCCCAGTTGCTTATAAAGGTCAGGTGATGAACGAAATGAGTGAAGTTGCGTACATTCAGTGAGGTTGAATGTATATGCCCTGTTCAAAGTGAGATGTCATTATTTGACTTGCTTCCATGGGAGTTCAGTTTTCAGATTGCCAGATATGCTGATGTCTCAAGAGAAGCCAGAAATCAGGATTTTTACTTTAAATTTTTTTGACTTTTGAATGTGCACAGCTAATTCAGATTTTTAAAACTGCTGCAAGGAGCCAAACAAAAATGTTTGTGGTTGGATTTAGCCTTGGGATGACCTGTTTGCAACCTAAAATTTTAAACTGGCTGGGGATAGTTCAAGCTGAAAAGTTGTATAAATTGTTGTGATTCGGGGTGAAGGAGATCGAGATCCCCTGTCTTAAGGCTGATTAGATTGAGAGGGGTATGTTGATGCTCCCCCTTGCACTGATGACAGCAAGCACAAGACATACACAGGAGTGATTCTTCCTCTGCTTTTATCGCTATTATGAGGATAGCCTCTTAGGTAAGTCCCGGACAGCATTCCTTTCCACCATTGTGCCTGAGGAATTGCATTCACTGAGGACTTCATGGAGAATGACCATCTCTATCACACATTTGGTGCCCAGTCCTGGCCTTCCTGCCTGCCTTCTCTTTCCGACTCTGTTAGCAGTATGCAGCTGAGTGAATGGATTTACTGTATGGAAATACTGTATGTATCATTTTCCCTGTCTTCCTGACACTTAGCAGTTATCACAATGATGGGACTTTCATTGAGAGTGTTCAGAGTATGAGCTATGGTTGAGCTGTTATTTATGTTTTATTTTAAAGGTTTTATTTACTTTTTAGAGAGAGCGGAAAGGAAGGAGAAAGAGAGGAAGACAAATATCTATGTGTGAGAGATAAATCAGTCGATTGCCTCTTGCATACCCCCAGCTGGGGAACCTGGCTGGCAACCCAGGCATGTGCCCATATTGGGACTCTAACCTGCAAGCTTTTGGTTCACAGGTGGGAGCTCAATCCACTGAGCCACACACGAGCAAAAGACAGGTTTAGTTGGTCATTTTATACCTGAATTTTCTTAAAATTAATAGCGTGCTCGTGTACATGTGCACACATGCATCCAGCATTCAGGTTGAGAGCTATTTAAACAGTGCTGGTGGAGTGTAAATCCATTTAATGAACATGTGCACTGGAAAGAGCATAAGCAAGACACATGGATCCTCTGGTTCCCCAGTCACTTTAAGTTTCTTATCTCCTATGGTGAAAACATTTTCCCTCACTCTGAGTGTAGCCTGTACTCTGGGTGATTCAAGGAAAAATTTCTCCTGACTGCAAGTTGTGCCCTAACAGCTGACCAGCACCAGCCAGCTTCACTGCATGATGGTACAAGTTGTGATTCTGTAGTAAAGGGTATTAGCATCCTCTTTGAGCTCTTTTGAGTATTTATTGTTAATATGACAGAAATTGTTTAGATTCAAGTTTCATGCGTGGTCTTGCCTCTTTTAATCTCTGGGGAGAGTCCATAGGTTGCATTCAAATCTTGAGGGCTCCTTGTTGCCAAACAAGTAGCTAATGTTTCCAGCTTAAGATTTCTAGTTAATGTTGCCCTGGCTTGTGTGGCTCATTGGATTGAGTGCTGGCCTGCAAACCAAAGGGTTGCCAGTTTGATTCCCAATCAGGACACATGCCTGGGTTGCAGGCCAGGTCCCCAGTAGAGAGCACGTGAGAGGCAACCACATATTGATGTTTCTTTCCCTCTTTCTCCCTCCCTTTCCCTCTCTCTAAAAATAATTTTTTTTAATCTTAAAAAAACAACAAGATTTCTAGTTAGTGTTGCCTTAAATATCATGTTGTAGGCACTGAGATACCTTTGAGCCTTTTGAAGTCAACATTCTCGGGGCCAGGAAAGGGCTGCTTTTGTATTTGCCTTCCAGTGCCCTTATTAATGTGTCTTGGGCTTGATTAAGTATGTCTAGGTTTTCATATACTTTAAGAAACTTCTGATAGTCAGGTGTGTTAGGAGCCCTGGGCCTGCAGAAAGCCTGATGAAGCATCTTCCTTCGATTGTAGAAGGCTGCTGTAGAGAGGTGGCTGAATCAGTTAAGATAAACTAGACTTCAAGCCAGAGCTCTGCAACTGTTTCTCTCACTCACACTACATGTTCATCACTGGTCACCTGGAGGAGGCTCTTCTCTCACATGATCTCTTTCACTTTGGGACCTAGATTGCCCCAGTAGTTACTATCTGAAACTTTGCAGTTGCTGTGGCAGAGGGGAAAAAATATGGTGGTAGCATGGACTGACTCTTAAAATTATAGTTTGGAAGCAACACAAGTCACTTCTGTGGACATTTCATTGGCCAAAGCAAGTTAAATGACTTCAAGAGGGTACAGAAGACTACCTCCCACAGGGGAGGAACTAGCTCTTGGTGAACGGTATTAACATGATCTATTACAGTGGTCATGGAGGGCCAAAGGGGATGATCTGGGCCCTGACAGTCTCTGGGGCAGACTGATTCATCATTCCAGGGTCTGTGGGTAGACTTGGAGGAATCTAGGAAAGAAATTGTATGAAAGTTCTGTCTGTGTGTGCATTTTATGAGGAACCTTTCTTGGATTCTTAAAGGATTTATGCTGTGACCCAGAAAAAGTTAAGATTACTTCTTTAAAATAAGAAGTTGTGCTGGATAGCTCAGTTGGTTAGAGCATCATCTCGATATGCCAAGGTTGTTGGTTTGATCTCTGGTCAGGGCACATACAAGAAGCAACCAGTAAATGCATGAACAAGTCCATGGTTCTCTCTCCTTCTCCCTCTCCCCTTCCCCTCCTTACCCACTTCCTCTTTCTCTAAAAAATCACTAAGTAAAAATAAAATGAGTTTGGTGTTGAACAGAGTCCAAAGAAGGATGGGTAAGGATTTGGTCCTGTGAGAATCCACGTTGGTTAAGTTTTGCATGACAGCGGTTATTCTCTGTGGGAGATGCTGGTGTGGGTCTGGGCTCAGATTTCCAGGTGTGGGGAGGCCATGCCAATGGACCGTGTGTACATGCACTAATGAGATCTTCTTCTTGGGGAACATAGGTTGTATCTGCAGCAAACACTCAATGACACTGTGGGCAGGAAGATTGTCATGGACTTCTTGGGTTTTAACTGGAACTGGATTAATAAGCAACAGGGAAAGCGTGGCTGGGGGCAGCTGACCTCCAATCTGCTGCTCATAGGCATGGAAGGTAAGACATCTTTCAGAAAGCAGCATAGCTGGGAGTCAGTCATACAGACCTGGTTCCTAATCCTGTGTTCCACCGTTTGCTCTTTGACTTTCAACAAGTGACTTGACTTTCTCAAGCCTCAGCCACCTCATCAGCAAAATGACCATGAGAGTATCTTATAAATAGCTGTGAAGATGAAGTAAGATAATTTATGTTGTCTTTAAGCTAGTTTCATGCACACTAAAAAAAAAGTCCCCTTTTCCCTTCCTCAGATGCTGCGTGAATGTGTATACTCAGATACCAGGAATCTCTGAAATACTGCTGTTCTCTTTCGAATGTGCCTGTATTCAGAACATTTTTATCCCAGTAGAAGAGGGAATGTATTTTTCCAATATAAATTGAATCTTAACTTCTGAAAAGATAATACATTCACAGGGTTAAATTCAAAAGGTATAAATAGGAATGTAATGATAAATCTCTCTGCCACTTCTATCTCTCAGGCTCCCAATTCCCTTCCCTGGAGGCAACATGTGTTATTAGTTGTTTGTGTATCCTGCTTGAGAATTTTATGCATGCACAGAAAATATGTAACTATATTGTTTTGGGTTTTAATCTTTTGAATAAAAGGAGAAGCCTTTAAATTCCAGTCAGAAGAAGGAGAGAGCCACTTACCTCATTCTTATTTTTATTTCCAGAACTACCTCAGTGCCAGTCCCTTACTTAGTAAATGGTGACTAAATTGGGTTGAACGAGGAAGCAATTACTCATTGTCATTCACCACTGGGCACTGAAGTCTGTTCCTCCTTTGATTATCCTTTCTTCAGATTCACTGCATCTTAGGATTGATCCTTAACCTGTCCCTTTGAAACCAGCTCTTGGTTCACCTGCCAGGAACCATTTCTGGTTTACTTGACTCTGCTTTTCTGTTGCCTTCCTGTCTTGTGTTAGAGTGCAGGAAAGCAGAGCCATCAGGTAGAGTTAAGAGAGCAAATGCCCCTTGGGGGGCACATAAGAAGGCAGCTGTCTTGGCCCACCCAGGCAGACCCGGAAGATGTCTTCCACACTCCATGCCCTGCGGAGGGCCTTAAGGATTGTGCAAAGGATGAAAAACAGACATGGCCCCAGTTACAAAGAGAAGGTAGAGCATACTCACACTATGGCAGAACTAATTCAAGGTGACATTTAAAATAATTTGCCTTGTTCAGGTTACACAACACTCTTTAGATAGCTGATATGCTTACCCCTGTGAGAATCAACAGCCCCTGTGTTGCTCTAAGAAGTGTTGCATCCCACAGGTGTGTTGAAATGGGAGGAAAGGTTGAGAATTTTTACACTCCAGAAGAGCTACCCAAAGCAAGTACGTATTCATACAACTTAAAAATGACTGGTTAATTCCATCAAAGACCATGCATACATTGTTGATACTAGTCATTTCATTTGTTTCTAATTCTTGCTTTGCTACCCCTGAATTCTTGCCCTAGTCGTTAAGAGTATAAGTATATATATTACTTTGCTAGACTTGTATCATTTCGATGTGCTGTTGCTTCCAGTAAGAGCAGTAGCCATTATTTAAGAAAGTCTACATTGCTAATTGATGCTGAATCCTTACTGCTAGACTTATTACTGATTAAAAGTGTAACACCTAATTTGCTGAGAGTTGTAATTGCCATCTCCCTGGTTCTGCCTGATATTTTTCATTAGGAACTCTTAGCTGGATGGGCAGGCTGCACTTCTCCCCAGCACTGCGCCCTGTGTTCCAGTCTGTGCAGTAGAGCCACTGCTCTGAATAAGAAGATGTTTTTCTTCTTACAGGAAATGTGACGCCTGCTCACTATGATGAGCAGCAGAACTTCTTTGCTCAGATAAAGGGCTACAAGCGATGCATTTTATTCCCTCCGGATCAGTTCGAGTGCCTCTACCCTTATCCTGTTCATCATCCCTGTGACAGACAGAGCCAGGTGAGCTCGTATGATCTGAGAAAGAGAACTCCCTGTGGACCCAAGGCTGGCACGTCTTCCCCTTCCCTGTGGTGGTATGCCAGGTTTGGACAAACTCAGAATAATTTCACGGTGTAGCTCGTAACAGGGTGGGGCAAAAGTAGGTTGACAGTTGTTCACATGAAAACTAATAGTAAATGATAATACAAGAATAAACTCTTGTGTTTCCTATACTCACAACTGTGAACCTACTTTTGCCCCACCCTGCATACTCCAGGTTCCCATGGCAGTCCCCAGGCAATTAGAAGTATAAATAGCCCTGTAGTAATTTCTAGAGGGCTGACCATAGCGCTGCTGCTGCTGGAGGCAGGTCACTCTGTGGTTGGACTTTAAGTTCATGGAACAAAAGGCATTCTATCTCTATTGGTTTTAATAATTGTTTTGTCAGGGATGCTGCTTTTTGATGAAAAGGAGGGCAAATAGAATTGAGATATATCACTTAACGTTTTTTCTGGATTCAAGTCAGGTACAGGTTGACTTTGTTGCCAACCAGAAAGGTCATTTTCTTTCTTGAGGCAAAAGCTGCCTAGCTACTTCATGTAGGAGTCTTGACTGGTTGGAGTGTGCGTGTGGAAGAAAGTTCTGGACGGTTTGGGTGAAGGATGGGTCCTAATCGCACATCTCTGCAGGCAGTGAGTAGGTTTTCGAACCTACGAGCTGTGATGACTGGCTTCTGACCTCAGGGTCACTGAGGCCTGGGATTCTTTATTGCTCAGCATTTGAATATGGCCATATTCAAATGTAAGGATAATGTAAAAAACATTATTCTTACATTGTTTAATGTATGTTTTGTTTTCTACTGGATATAAATTTTAAAGTAATCTTTTTTCTTTTTTAAGGTGTCTTTTTTTGACTATCAGAGTAACTTGCGCATAGTAGTTAACGACAAAAATTTGGTGATTGACCGACTTTTTCTTTCTCTCGAACCTCTCAGGTGGACTTTGACAATCCCGACTACGAGAGGTTCCCCAATTTCCAGAACGTGGTTGGTTACGAAACAGTGGTTGGTCCTGGTGATGTTCTTTACATCCCAATGTACTGGTGAGGAGCAGGCTAGGACTGGTGGGTTCTTGGGGGTGTATTTTCTCAGACTCTTGAAAGCCTTGTCCGTATCCCTTCCGAGCTGGGGCAGGATTGGTCTTAGGTGATGAACAGGAAGGTTGGCACATCCAGGTGTGAGCACGCTGAACATGGGGGAAACGATGACCCTATCTCTAGCCCCAGGGTGTGTTTGAGAGGCTGAGCGTAAAGATACTATCTTCATTATTTCCCCTAGCTGGGCTCTACCTAGTTCTCCATCCCTCCCTTTGAAAAGTATTGGTGGCAAACAGGAGGCTATTTATTTTCTTGCAGGTGGCATCATATAGAGTCATTACTAAATGGGGGGATTACCATCACTGTGAACTTCTGGTATAAGGTGAATATGGGTTTTTTCCTAGGTGGGACTGGGGTGAAGTAGGTGTAATAAATTATTTGGGAGCAGGGTGGGGAGGTTGGCTATCTGTGAAAGTGATTCCCAGGTCTTTGGAAAGATGAAAGGGGTGGGTTTGAATTGCGTTTCTTAGAAGGGGGGATTCTACCTAGGAATAGGTGACACTGAAGCCTTCTGTTAAAGACATTGCCTGAGCTGCGGCTTCCTTTGCAGGGGGCCCCTACACCTAAGAGAATTGAATATCCTCTCAAAGCCCATCAGAAAGTGGCCATAATGAGAAACATTGAGAAGATGCTTGGAGAGGCTTTGGGGAACCCACAAGAGGTATGTGGCTGCCCCAAGGTGGCATTCCCATGGTTCGTTGGGCAGTGACCAGGGGAAGTCAGGATTGGTGTCGCAGTCTCCACAGCTCCTCTGTTTCAGTATCTGGTGTCCTATCCATAGAGGTTACTGGTATGTTCAGAAAAGCCTTGTTTTCTGGTGAGAGCTGGGCTTGACTGGCGGATCAATTATAATCTGTTCCATGCTAGTGGTAATGTTCCCCATGGGGCTTGTGTGCCAGCTGGGAACCCCTGAGGGGATTCTTCTGGAACGGGACTCAAGCAGTAAAGCATCTCCTCACTCTCCCAGCTGTGCCGAGGCTGCTCTCAGTAATGTTGCGACCTGCTTCCCACACAGGTGTGCCAGTGGCCCACTTGTGTGTGTAATGCTCTTGCCTCTATCCTGTGGTTGGCTTCAGCATCCAGAGGACCTGTGGGGTTGGGAGTTAGCACTCGCCTCAATTTCAGGTGTTCTTTTCAGGATATAAAGGCACTCAACATTCTTGAGGCACATTTAAGAAATGTGCAGACACACACTCTTAGGTGTCTGACCTTCTGTCCATTTGGTGCTGCTTACAGATACAGGATATTGTGAGAGGGAAGGTAATACAAGGTGGACCCAGAGTCAAGGGCCATGCCCCAGATCACGGGGTTGACCTCCAGGAAGAGACCTGGTTAGAGGGTTTACAAGATTGAATGAAAGCCTTATCCCTGCTCTTGGCTGGACATCGCATGTCCCCAGACATACCTATGTCTGGCTCCAGGGTCAGGGAACAGGCAGTTCTGACTGACTCCTCATGTCTTTTCACAGGTGGGGCCCTTGTTGAACACAATGATCAAGGGCCGATACAACTAGCCTGCCAGGAGTCAAGGCTTCCTGCCAGGTGACCGCTAGCCCATCTACACTGCTTCATTGATGAGGACAGGAGACTCCAAGCACTAGTATTGCACTCAGCACTTAATGGACTGGACTCTTGCCATGGCCCTGGAGGCAGGTGTTTGGGGCAAGGCAGGGTGGTTGGCACTCACTCACATTTGGAGGAATTCTATACCCTTGCCTCTGTGCCCCAGCACCTTCCCTCCATACCCCTCTAAAGTCCTGCATTCAGTGTGTGGAGTTCCAGCTTCTGGTTGTCATCATGTCTGTGTGTGTCAGTGTGTCAACCTCAGGATGTGTGCATGTGTGTGCATGCACACGCATTGTGTATCTGTTCCTTACACCCTTCTTTCAGGTCAGGACCCCACATCTGGCTCTCAGCTCTAACTCCTGCAACCTCTGTGCCTCCGCCTGAGAGAGAGGAGATGCTCTGGGATGCCCACTATATCGGGGCTGCAGGACCAGAGCTATCCTGACCTTTAGGTCAGTTGGCTTCCTTCAGGTTTCACAGAGTCAGGCTCTGGGCTGTGTGGGAATGGCTACTGGGATTCTAATGGGGAGAGTGAAAAGGAGGCTTGCTTTGAGGGCCTGGAGAGCTTTCTGTGAGAGAATTAGGTTCCAACTTGGACCTTCATGCTCAAGCCATATATAGAAAAGAGCCTTGGGAAACAAGAGCCAAGGATTATGTAAGATTAAAATTTGAGACACATACCATTCTCTTTCAGCACCAGCTCTGCTCCCTGTGCTGAGTGCCAAGGGAGTCCCAGCAGTGGCTTCTCTGAGTTCTAGGGGAGCACAACTCCACAGGGTATGTGTGCGTGCGTGCACACTGGCCTGCCTCTCTGCTTGCCAAGTTTCTCTGCTGCTTAATCTCATCCAGGGGGTGGGTACACAGTGCGAGCCCCAAGGCAGTACCCCCTGACCTAACCTAAAGAATTGAAACTCAATCTTAGCCATTGGACGTTGGTCAGGACTCACTGCAACCTGCCTGAATGAGGCTGGCTGGCTAGCCGCCTCTGCCCAGGCTACATCCTCTGTCTGGGGAGCTTCCTGGCTGAGGAGAAAAAATGGGGTCTGGCTTAGGCAACTGAGTCACCACCTGTCACCCACCTCACAGCAAGGACAAAAATGTAGCCTTGTCTCTTAAAGCCAGCGCCTCTGCCGGCCCCACAGCAGTGTTTCACAAACCCCCTCTCAGGGCTGCAACTTAACAACTGGGCAGCTGTGCACTGCACAACTCAGCCATCATTCACATCCGTTCAGTGGGATTGGGGCCCCTGGAATTGGGCAGTATGGTGGGCCTGTGTCTTGTCGCCTCCACTTCCATCTCCATGTCCCTTCTCTCTGGAAGGAAAGAGGAGTTGGAGTCTCTGGGTTTATATTTTTCTTTTTCTCTTTTTTTTGGCCAAAGGTTTACTTCTGGTGTCTGAGCTATGGCTCTTACCCCCAAAGCTCAGTTTACAGTTACAGTGCACTGATGGACTGCGAGGGCCTGTGTGTGTGTGTGACCTGTGTGTTTCACGAGGGGTGTTCATCTTTAGTGCTCCATTCTGGGGTTCTGTAATGCAGTGTGTGCACAAACATGGTACCTTCTCAAGTGTAGTTCTTTCAAATACAGCCAATGCTGGGAAATGTGATTGCAGCGATTTCCATCCCTCCGTCTCTTTGGGGAAGGATAAGTGCACAAAGAAAACAGGGCATATGGAGGATGACCTTGACTACAACCACACTTTGAAAGACAACAGATTGTTTTTTGACCTCAGCAGGTCTGCTTCATTGCCGACTCCACCTGCAAAGATGTGGGTTGATGTACAGCAGGGAAGTGTGTGCCACTCAGCTGGTCCTTGCTGGGTGCGATGCTGACATAGGTTGTACCTAAGGGGACAGAGGGGTATACCTGCACAGGATTGGTTACGATCCTTGGGTAATATAGTAGTAACTGCTGATTATTGGACACCTAATGTGTGTGCCTAGTGCTTTTATCTTTGTTTCTCACTATCCTACAAGGTAGGTATTCTCATTTTACAGCCAAAGAAAAGGGCTCAGAGAGGTTAAGCAATCAGTGGCAGGATTCCAACCTAGTGCTATTTGGCTGCAAACCACCTGCTGCTCCTTTTCAACCAAACTGTTGCTTCTTTTACCTCCTCCCCTGTACTGCAGGCCAGCCTCAGCTCTCACCCCACTGGTGTTGTCTGGTGCAGAAGATAGAGCACAGCGAGAAAGCTTTTCTGGGTTCCATCTAAAGACATCTGGGGAAAACTTGGAAGCCATAAAATGAGTTAAGAGTGCTGGAAGGAGCTATGGGGAGACTGAGCTCTAGATCCCATTGTGTTACTAGTATGTCCTCAAATAGGTCCCATAATTTGTCCAGCATGCTTCTGCATCAGTAGAATTGAGCTAGGTGACCACTAAGAACTTGGATTCATGTTCTGCGCTCTCCTTTTCCCCCCAAGAAGAGGTTGAGGCTCTTCACTTAACTAGGTTAGGGCATTTGGGCTCAAATTCTCATTGGGGCAAAGGAAATATTTCTTCCCTGTTGCTGATCCCTGTTGTAGAGGCAGATACCATGGGAAGGTGGGGTTTGGGCCCATATGGAGGTTGGCTATGTTGCATGCCCCCCTTTTTACACCAGTAGGTACAGAGGAAACGACTCCTGTGAAGTCAGATATTGGGGGGTCGGAGTTTGGGGGCTGGAGGAGGAGCCGTTCTGGGCATTAGTTGAACAGATGCCCAGGATGCCCGGGGGAGACCAGCTTCCCCTACAAATCAGAGCTCTAAATTACAGGGTTTTTACCAGTGCGAACAGTTGGGGGAAGTCGTCTGCTCTCATTTGCGTAATGGTTTCTGTCACTGGTGATTAGACACAGGATGAAGGAAAAGAAATTTGACAATTAGGAATGAGTAATCATTAATCTGTATCTGTTAGCAGACAGAAAGGGGGAAGGACCCTTATTGGCCATCCCAGTGTGGGGGAGACTCTCCTGTACCCCCCAGAGAATCTTGGGTCACCTACCCTTTTATTGTATCCACAAGCAGACTGAGCTGGTGTTTTTTAACACCAGAAAGAGTAGGTGGGCCCAGCCTTGGCTGGTGTAGCTCAGTGGATTGAGCATGCGCCTTCGAACTAAAGGATCGAGGTTTGATTCCTAGTCGGGGCACATGCCTGGGTTGTAGGCCAGTTCCCAGCGGGGGACACATGAGAGGCAACTATACATTGATGTTTCTCTCCCTCTCTCCTTCCCTTCCCCTCTAAAGATAAATAAATAAAATCTTTTTAAAAATCCATTCCTTAAAAAAAAAAAGAATAGGTGGGCCCAGTCCCCAGCTTGAGGTGGATACAGGAACACATCTACGGGTGTGAGCCAGCATAGAGAGACGGGTGTGAAGAGCAAACAGTGGGGCAGAGGAAAAGGTATAGTTTTGACATGTGCTATTTGTGAGAAGTGCTTCTGTAATCTACTCCCGACGACCAGCCAGTGGAGAGTGTTTGTTACGTTCCAGCACTGCAGAGTATGGAGAGAACCTGGTCTCTATGCACTAGGAGCTTCTCAGTTGAAGAAACCACGTGAAACAACCAGAGGTTATGAAACCATGCGCTGGTGCACTGTGAGGACGAAACCAGAGGCTGTTGAGGAAAGAAGAAGATCAGTAAAAATCAGATCTCTTCTTCCAGGCTCCTCCAAGTTCGTGGACTCCACAGGGAGGGGCGCTTCCCTCTAAGCTGTCCAGCCACATTGGTGTCTCCCACGGAGGGCACTGAAGCCCCCGCCCAGATGTGTGAGCAGGTGATGAGATCAGCTTAAAGGCTGTGTCTTGGATGTGGAGAGTTCCAACTTGGATCTTCTCAGGTCTCCACATTTCCTCTTCCTCTGCGTCTCGGTGCAGACTTCAAGGACAATATTAATTTGTATCAGTTGGCAGTTACTCCTGTTTGACGACCTGTACGTAGCGGGGTCCTTAGATCAGAGGCTCCCTCGAGTATTGGGTACAGGCGTGGCAGTAGGATGGTTGTCTTCTCAGAATGCAAACTTCCCAAGGATGGGACAACTCTTTGTAAATTCCTTATCTTTGGCTTCCCTTCACAGTCCAGTGCAGAGTTTAGTAGGGCTGCAGGGAATGGCCTTCAGCTTTAAAATAGACCAGTTTTACTCAAAACTGTGGATGCTGGGATGCACCTAGAAGTGACTCATCGGGTTCCTGAGGCCCTGGCTTAATTTCAGCCAATGTCCCTCTTTCTTCTTTGGGACATCTAGTGCTTGTCCTCCCATCTCTGCCCATGTCTCTGGTGTCCCTGCAAACAGTCTGCTCTAAGAGGTGTTCCAACTTCCCTTTCCTAGAGTGCCCCCAGTTTCTCCTACTCAGCCTTTCCCTGCCCAGTCTCTTCAGCAGCCCCTTCACCTAGGCCCTTTTTCCTAAACAGTTGCCCTTCTCTCAGATGTTCTAGACTGCAAGTTTGTGGATAGGCTTTCTCCAGGATCTCTCCGGGGTCATTGCTATTTTAACCTTAGAGTCATCTTCCTTTTCTGGCGTGCAGTAGCTCTGGTTACCCAGGGTTTGTCCATTTGTTTTGTGCATGCTCTGTCCTCTTGTCATTTTCTGTATCTTTTCTAACTCGAGTGGCTCTTACTGCTTATCTTAGCCAGCTCTCTTTAATCCTCACAGGTTTGGGGGAAGCCCTGCTGAAAACTTAGTGCATTTCTGGGGGACAAAGCCTTAGACACTGGCAGCCTTGAGGCCCAGGGGTGTATGGTCGGTGATGCCTTCAGAGACGGGTGAGGAGAGGGTACTTAGAGAGTTGTGAACAGTGGCGAGCCAGTGAGGGGGGCTGAGCAGGAGACTGCAGGAGTGGGACTGGGCAGGCCAGGGTGGAAGAACCAGAGATTGTGTTTGTGCCTTGGGGTCCAGCATGTCATGGATGGGGGGCATTTTGTGGATGTCTCCTAATTTCTCAGGGGGTTTTGGCAGTGCTCTGAGTCACTGAGGTTAGCTTACCTCTGCATTTCAGTGTTTGCCGGAAGGAAAGAGCATGTCGAGTCATCACGGGCCAGGAGTGGAGATCTTAGGTGAGAAAGGCCCTGGAGGCTGGGGCAGGAGGCCACAGGGGCGCCGCCCAGTGGTCAGCTTATACCCAGACTATCCCTTCACTCCACCAGGTGTTTGAGGACGGTAACTGATTAGGAACCTCATCATCTTCCCTACCCAAAAGTTGGTCTGTGGGTAACATTTTGGGCAGGAGAAGGTGTCCTTTAACATGAATGTGAAACATCTTAGCACAGTGTTTAAAAGCACGGACTTGGGAGTCTGATGTCTTTGGTTCTGGTTTTTAGCTTTACTGCTTTGCCAGCTGGGTTTGACCTAGTTGATTGACTTAACCTCTCTGAATGTGCTTCCTCAACAATAATGGTATGTGTGGTGGAGAAGGGGGGTGTTAAAAATATCTACCTCAGGGTAGTTGGCATAACCGAAACAATGTAAAGCTTTAGCACAGTGCCTGGCAAGCACTTAATAAATGGCATGGTGGTGGCAGTGATTCTGTTATTACATGACTTACTCAGAAACTTGATTTCAGTGACTAAGGTCTCCAGCGATTCCTTCCTTCTCAGTGAAAGCACAGGGAAGGGTAAGGAAAATACCCTGGAGAAACACGTGTTGCGGTGTTGAGCTGGGGGCAGACAGAAGAGCCTCTGTACCGAAACCTGCCCTAGAGGGAGGGGAAAGGGACGTGTCAGACGTCTGCTCCCTGGTCAGCTAGACTCGACTGTTCTCCACACGGGGTGGGGGGGCAGATGGGGTGGGGGGGCCAGGGCTATCGGCGACCGGGCTCTCCTTTGTGAGGGGGGTGAGGGCATCTGGATGAGTGCGCCTCACACCTGGAGAAGCTGTTGCCACCCTTACACTGTGAGACCCTGGCAGTCAAATCCGGCCCCCTTGGTCCAATTTTATCCCATACCTTTCTGTGTACTTAAGCTGTGTGCGCTAGGGTCGTTCCAGGACAGGAATTCCAAAGAGAATGCAGAAAGATACAAGACGGGGATCTTAACAGCCACCATTTGTGGAGTGCCTCGGAGCATTTCTGTTCCAGACCCGCGCTTGTTCTTTCCCATGTGCTCTCCGTTCAGTGGGGGGCGACAAGTGGGCAATTAGCATTGCAGGTGCACAGAGGATGTGCACCTGACAAGCTCAGGTGTTCGAAGTAGGCTTCCTGCTGGAAGTAACATTTTAAGCTGATAACCTGCAAGATAACCAGCCTGGAAAGTGGTAAAAGACGTGAATTTCTCCTCTGACTTGCCTCTCTCCCAGTCCCAAAACACACACTCTGCTCCTCCACGTTTAAGGGTTTTGTTAAATCACTCCTGGGAACGAACCACCAGCCAGGGGATGGACCTCAAAAAGAAGAAAGCCCTTTGGTTAGCCACAGAAGTCTTTGAAGATCATTTTGGTTTCTGGTCCAGGTTTGGCCTGGGTTGTGAGTGGACTGGACTTGGTCATTTGTCATCCTTTTTCAGAAGACTAACCTCTGGAGTTACCCTGCCACCCTGCTTGGAAGAGCTGTTGGATCCAGTTATTCCCAACTTGGCCTGAGATACATTCTGGCTGCCTGGAATTCTCAGCCTTTTCTACACTGAGATCCCATTGATCTCGTAGGTTCTGCCTGCCCCCGCCCCCAGACACCCCCTCTCCCCACTCTGAACCAAGCCTCTCTACAGTTCCCCTCTGTAGCCACTCACATCCTCTTGCCTCTGACCCTGGTCCCTAGCCCATAGGTGAAAAAGACCCCTCTCTAGCTTATGCTAAGTTCTCTCTGAACTACAGGCTATTCTGTATTCTGTAGTCACCTTGCATTCACCTATTTGCTTCCAGATTTCTTTGGCCTTAGAAAAAAATTGCTGTATTTTATTCAGTTTCCTTAAAACCTATTCACTTGGTTGTTGAGGTTGGTCCTGCCCTTCAGGGAAGCTCTGCTGCTTAACCAAACATCTAAACTAATCAGGGCTAGGTTTTTATTGCCTTGAGTATTACAGAGTGCAGTGTAGGGTAGTGGTTGAGAATGAGGGCCTGGTGTACTTGTCTTGGCCTTGAATCCTAGGTGTGTCATGCTGAGTGACCTTGGGCAAATGACAAACTGCCTGAAACTCATGTATAGGGATAATATGAGCTACCTTGTCAGGGTTACATGAAATAAGGTGTGTTAAGAAAGCCTCGGCAGAGTAACTATCCATAGCGAGGGCCTAGTCATCATTGGCTTCCAGCGGTCCCAACCCTGAGGTCCTGCTTCTAGTATCAGGGCAGGTTTAGTCATCAGCTCATCAGCAGAGCAGAGGGCTGAGCGTGAACTCTGCTGTTTATGTTACCTGTCCCTACTCCTTAGTGGTTCCTAAGACTAAGGTAGCACCTCCTTCACTGGGGAATGTTCTTCCAAAATGTCTAATATTAAGAGTACACAAAACACTGTCAGTGAAAATAGAAGACATCAGACCTGCTGCACCCAAGGGGTAAGAGGCACTGAAGGAGTGTGCGAGCTGGGAGCACGGCAGGCGGGGGGCACAGGAGTCAAGGAAATCGGTGCAGAGGCCACTGTGCTCATCTAGGGACAGTGAGACCATGGGCCGGAGAAGGTTCCTTCGAGTTTTTTGACAGTGAGCTTTTGACTGTATTTAAGCAAAACCCTACCCACTTTACAATCAGCGTGGTAATTGTTCTCACAAGGGTTTGTGTAATGTCTAGATAATAAGGTGTTAGATATGACCACAGTCTGAATCTCTATCCTAACTCTAGAACCTTAAGCAAGTTAAGATGTCGAGGTCTTGGGCACTTTCACATCTGAGGGGTGGGAGATAGCACGTGGCTTGCAACATTGTTTTGAGGATTGTGGTGATGTTTTTAAAACACCCTGTTCTGTGTGGGCACAAGGGAAGGGTTTATCACAAAGACCGGGTGTCTGCGAATAGTGTTCAGTTAGTGCTTGAATGAAAGCTTTCTGGATCCTGCCGTGACTCTCAGGATGCTCAGAGTGGCATCACAGAGATGACTTGGAATGGGGGGGAATAGAATGGAAAAGATCGTGAAAGTGTCCAACAAATGCTAGTTTCCTTTCTCTCTGCTCCTTAGGAAGCATCCAACTGACCCAGCATAAAAGGGACTCAGTTGTTCATGCCTTAGTATAAACAAGTAATGTCAGTTTCCCCTTTTCTAAGGTGAGATCAGTTGCCCTAAGGCAGTGATTTTTCAACTGACGTGCCATAAGAATTTTTTTTTAATGTAATACCTATTTTAGTCAGGGGCGCTGACCTCTTTTCCCCTTAGATTGTCAAATTTAAAAAATGACAGCCAACACAAAAATAGCCATCTGGTATGAATGAATAAAAATTTTGCCTATTTTGTGTCAGATGCCACCGAATTTTAGTAATTAGTTTATGTGTGCCATGAGGTGAAAAAGGTTGGAATTCACTGCCTTAAGAGAACAGGAGTGAGAATGGGGAAGAACCGTGGAGAACGGAACAGGACGCTACGGTATTGGAGGTGGAGTAGGGACCTTACGATCATCTGGTGAGCACAGGGGTGGGTGAAGATAAGGTGATGCTGAGAGAGGAGCTGGGTGCTGCGAGCTAGAGGGAGAAGCCAATCAAGGCATGGCCGTGTGGAGTAGAGGACAGGGCAGTGATCTAAGGGTGGGGAGGCCGAAGTTCTGTAGGAGAGCCTGAGGAATTGTGACTGCAAGTCAGGGCTGTGAGGGAAGTCCTCAGTTCAACCACCTGTCACCTTAGTACCTGCAAGAGTGTGGTCCTCTCCAAAAGAAAATGTAAAATAAGAGCAGAAATAATCAAGATGAAAAGACTTCAAGTGTTTTTCAGAGCCAGGGAAATACACCACCCAATCAAAGTACATGGAAGCCATGGTGGGATTCTGACTTCTGCGAGGAAATGCAATTAGATACTGAAGAGCATCACACCCAGGGGTGCGATCTGGGTGACCACCTTTCTGACTGATGGAGGCCCTGTAATGGGGCTTTCACAGGCCACAAATAAGACCTCTGGGTCCTTTCTTAGAATCCAGTCAGTGGCCCAACCCATGCTTCTGGTTGCTTTACAACCCTGGCCATCTGAGAATGCCACCCGCAGAAACTGGGGGCAGCACCAGTGTTTCCTTGATCAGTGCACACCTCCTAACACCGAGGACTTCCAGGGAAGGGCAGACATGTTTAAGAAGGGCTAGCCCGCAGCATTACCAGTGGCTTTAAGGAATATATACAGTTTGCATTTTGCATCCTTTACACGTGGAAGAGAATTTGCCTCTAAGTTTAACAGGTTTACCTTGTAATACCAACTGAAGCGTTGAATAATTTATTTTGACTTGAATTTTAAGTTGGTCTTGCTAAGTTTCTATATAGTTTTTGAACATTTTATGTGATTTAAGATTTGCTATATTTATAAACTTAATTTATTGAAGATACAGTAAATATTTGGGAAGGTTCGTTTTAGTCAGGTAAATGAAGTTTAAGGAAATCAAATAGTCATCTTAATTAAACTTGGTTTTATAAGCAAAAAATCAGGTTTGTAAAAGCTAAAGTTAAAGGCTTGGATAAGAGTTAGGATTTTGAATATGTAACTTTGAAAGCTTAATATAACTTTTAAAACCAAAGTAATTTCTGGGTAATTATTTGTATGCACAAAAATAACCCTCATGGATATCAGAATTCTGGCAGGAAAATCCTGACGTAGTAGTTCTACAAACCCGAGCCGCCGACCCTGTCCTGGCCCCTGGCAGCTGGCTACAGCTGAGGTGTCTGCCACGGGTCAGATCAGAGCTAGACGTGTTTTTTGAAAGTTTAAAAGAAATTAGTTGGCAGCGTTTAAGATAAACTTTTCATCTAAACAACTAGATTTTTGGCTTCTCTGGAAAATCAGAAATCTGGCGACAGTAAATCACATTTTCCAAATGACTACAGTCAGCTGGAGCTGAGTAGCCCCTACCCCTCTGTGCATGTTCCTCCCAGCTCACTGCAGTCGCCACTCTGCACCTGGCACTTCCTGCCTGGTTTGGCTGGCTTTCCTGACCTGTCCCACTTAGATTCTTGAATGTGTGACCCCCTGGAATGGAAGGTCTTTGAGGTTCCTAACAGCTGACGTATTGCCTAGGATAAGGGCTTGGGAAAAGAGCAGGCCCTTACCTCTGTGTTCCTACCTTCCCCACTCCAGCTGGGCTATCTTTCCCCACCTGACCTGGGCCCAGGACTGGTTTCGGCCTCTGTAGGAAATATCTAAGAAGTTCCCAGGCTTGGACTTCTCTGTGTTTGCTGCCCTTGTCTGTGACCAGACTGGTGGTAGGTCTTCTCTTACCCATACGGTGTGCCTAGGGAACTCATGTCTCAGTTCCTGTGAACTCCCTGACCACCTCATAATTTGGCCACAGCCTCGCTTTCGTTATGTGAGGTCTCCCAGGCTCTCTGCTTTATGAAACTCTCATACCCGATTTTACCTGATCTCGCAGGCTAGGTTGTGAATCCTCTGACTGACTCTCAAACCCCGACCCCATCTTCA